TCCTAGGCAGACAGCCCTCCAAGGCAGGGCCAGCTGTGTAGAGCACAAGCATCAGGCTGGTCTCCCAAGGCCTCCCCAGAGTGCAGTAGTCAGGCTCAGGAGCCCACTGTCCTAGGAGACACCACTTAGCCCAGGTAAACCGGTCACACAGGCCAACAGGTCAGCCACAAACTGGCTAAGAGGCCCACAGAACACATCCACCATACCTGAAGCATTGTGAAACCTACCCTGCCCAGGCTGGGGCTAAGTAGCACCATGGGGCTCCAGGCAAAGCCCTAGCAGGACATCTCTCCCTGAGCTGTCCTTGGAAGCAGAGCCAACAAAACTAGCCTGGTGGAGTTAGAACCTGGCCTTCTTGGCTCTGCCTGGAGCCCCCACCTCAACCCTGGCCAGCCTCGGTGGGCTGGGAGCCAGGGCAGTGTCGATGCCTGCTTAGAGCCCAGTGGTCCAACCTGGAGCCAGGCAGCTGAGAGCAGTAAGGGCCCGGGCAGTCCCAAAGGTTCCAGGAGGGTGTGAAGCAGGGAACAGAGGTCTGCCAAAGTCTCTCTCAGGTTCCTCTAACTAGGAAGGAAAGGCCGCCGCAAGGCACAAAGACGGAGTACAGGGGGCTTCCCTGCCACAGGAGGCTACAGCCCAGGCCCTGGCCAGTTTGGGACGGTGAGAAAACACAGCAGCTATGTGACCCACTGTCATGCAGCAGCAGCCGCCCGCCCCTTGGGCAGGGCCCCAGAAGAGGGGCAGGGACAGCTCAACCGTAACCCACGTGTCCACTGGCACAGACCCCAGACATTGGCCCAGACCCCGACCCTGACAAGCTCCGAGCCCCGCCTGCGCCCGCACCCCAGCCCACCCCAGCCGGTGCTGCAGGATGCCCTATTAAGGGCATGGCTGCGGGGGCTCACTAGAACCGGCCTGCCCCATTCCGGGACCTGCAGCCTCGGGTTGGGGGCGGGGGAAGGGGGCCACCCAGGCAGGAAGGCCAGCGGGTGGCCAGGTTCTGTGTGCACAGTTAGGACAGTCACCTCGACAAGGTGGTAGGCGGCCAGCTGTCAGTCTGGTGGATCCAGCGTGCCCTGAGAGGCCGCCCAGAGGGTGGGCAAGGTGTGGGGGGCACCATACCTTTGTACTTCTCCCGCACCTCCTCGTAGGCCTGGATGAAGTCCTGTTCGTCGGGTGCCAGATTGGACGTCAGGAGGGCGGCCATGCCGGCAGGCATGGGACGCGCTGCACCGGACGCGCAGGAACAGCCTCCAGCCCAGGCTGCCGCTCTGCCTCGGCAGCGGAGGCGCGTGCGGCTTAAAGAGGCCGCCCCCGCCCCGCCCCGCACCCAGGATGCCCCACGGACGGGGCGGGGCTGGGCGGGGCTGGGCTGGGCTGGGCCGGGCCGAGACTGGGCTCTGTCCCTGGAGCTGGCCGGTGCTTGTGCAGTCACAGCGCTGCGCAGGCGGGCGCGCGGCAACCCGCGCACACGTCCGAGCGGGCATACGCCCCTGCTGGCTACCCACCCATACACAGCCGCCCCACAGCTGGATTCCCCTTCCCTGGAGTGCTAGTCCTGTGGCGACCACTCTCCAGATCAGCCCCAGCCAGCGACTTCACCTGGCTACCCTTGTTATGCTTCCCTCTTCCCTCCTTTACAGAGAACTACTACAACACTGGAGATAGTGTTGGCTTCTCTAATATATAAGGAGCCCTTAATCCGGTATAGTGGGGCACCCCTGTAATCCCAGCATTCCGGAGGTTGAGGCAAGAGGATTGCTGCAAGTTCAAGGCCAACCTGAACTACATAACAAGATTTTGTCTCTCAATAAATGAAAAAAGAGCAGGCCCCATAAAATGAGAAAAAAACACGTAAGAGGACTGGAAGCCAAGCACGGTGATACACACCTGTAATCTCAGCACTCGGGAGGCTGAGGCAAGAGGATCACTGTGAGTTCAAGGCCAGCCTTGGCTACCTAGTGAGTTCAAGGCCAGCCTAAACTATATAGTGAGACCCTGTCTAAAAAAAAAAACAAAACAAAACAGAGGACTGGAGTAGACACTTTACAGAACAGAAAGTTTGATAATAAGTGAAAGAACAATCTTTTCCACCCATCAGATTGGCAAAGCCTTCTCTGTCTCCCCGCGTTTTCCAACATCCTCCATCCTGGAACCCCCTGGTGTGATATTCCTTCAAACCTTAAATGCTGGGTGCCCTCAAAGTAAAGTCCTAAGAAAAGAATCAGAGAACAGAAAGACCCTGCCAGAGGATGTAGGCTATAGCATAGCTAGAGACAGAGACTGCTACAGGCCGTGAGATTCAGCAGCAGGGGCTGCTGAGGGTTACTACAGCCCCCACCCCATTCCTTCACATCCTGAAATGTCCAGGAGGTGAAAAGGGCACTCATGATTCCTTTTCAGGCAGGAAAAAAAAAGAAAACAAACCTCATTCCTTAAAATCCCATGAGACATGGGAAAGATCAGAAGATCACCAAGCCCCTGGGCCTCTGGGGTTTGGCAGTGTGGTGAGCATGCCCCCGACTCTTGCGTTTGCATGAGTTGTTGCTGTACCTTCCCCAATGACAAATTTCCCCGATGCCTGCAGCACTACCTCCCCTCTGGGAAGGTGGGCTCCATGTCTCTCCCCACATGCCTTGGTCCACCCCCCTCGCCTCCTGCAGGAAAACACTCTGCCCTCCTGATGCCTCACCATGCCCTGGGGGGTCCTAGATGATGGAATGGGGTCAGTACTCACTTTCCCAGCACATCCTGCCCAATGACCTCCAGTTCTAGGTGACCCACTTCCCAAAGGGACTGGCTGCCCTCCAGCTAACCACCCTCCAACTGCCCACCACCTCCCTCTGGGCCTCTCACTGGACCTTTCCCATTCTCCTCCTCAGACTGGCAGCTAATGTAGGACAAAGCTGGACCCTGGCTCAGAGGTAGTGGGACTCGCATTGGCCAGACGTCTTCTCCTTTCCTGCTCTTGTGCACAGCCACCCCTATGCGGCAGTCAAGACTAGGAGCATGGTGAGCAGTTTGGCTCCAGGGGCCCAGGCAATGATCACTATGTTATCAAGGGAGTCTGGAAGCCTGCGATGACAGGGCTGCAGCAAAAAGCTGGGCTCCGGGCCTCTCACAGCTGCCTGGGCCAGGCAGCAGGTGGCGCTGTGCTGCCTGCACTCACCTGAGACCGGAGAGGCCCTGCCTGACCGGCAGATCCTCTCTGGCGTCTCCTAGTCCAAATATTTGCACGCAGCACGCAGCAGGTAGTCAATCAACAGTCCTAATGAACCAAGCTGACCAGGCCTTTCCACATTACCTGCAATGCGGATGACAGCCCGCTCCGCAGGGTCCAAGACACTCCCATTGCCTCCAGAGCCACCTCCACTGCGCCGGCTCCGCTGCGTTTTCCCAAGGTTCCAAGGCAGTGTGTCCCCCGGGCTGGGGGAGCCACTGCCTCCATTGGAGCCACTTTCAGCCACTGTTCGAACTTCGGAGTCCTCGCCCGACATGGCCTCCTGGAGGGACAGCAGGAAGGTCAGACTTCTGCGGGTGAGAACCTGATACTGCACACTGACCCGCCACCTCCTCAGCCTAAACACTGACCGCATCAACCTGGACACTGACACCACCCTGCTCCTAGATGTCGACGATTCCTCCCCGCCTGCACATCCAGCCTTCTCCTCAGATACCTGCAAGTGACACTGCTCAGACACTGACCTCACGCCCTCTAGAGTATCACCACGACGCTGACCACTCTCACCACTCCACACATCGACTGTCACTCCCTTTGCTCAACCACTGACCACCCACTGACCACTGGCCTGGTCCCTGACTCTCCTGTCCTCAGGAAGAACCCGCCCTCACGCCCAGACCCTGGACTCTGGCACTCTACCTCCAAGCAGTCTCAGTCTGTAGGACTCCCCAGCACCCCACTCCACCTCCAGCCCCACACAGTCCCACCTCGATCTCTGCAGAGAAGACCTATAAATAGCTGGAGCCGCAGCGGCGTGGGCCGCGGGAGCGAGGCTGCGGCAAAGCTAAGGGAGAAACCAAGCCACTGCTCCAGCAGCCCACCCCGCTCCCTGCAGGCAGAGTCAGGGAGCACGCGTCCACAAGCCCCAAGGGCGCTGGCGTGCAAGAGGTGAATGGGGCTCTGTCTCGGCGAGGGTGGGGTGGTGTGGGGGCACAATGTGGGCTCTGTGCCTCCTCCCTCAAGCCAAGGGCTGAGGAGGAGCGAGCGGGCACCGAGCTGGAAGCCCCCCTTCCTAAGGGTCCCTTGCCCCCCGGGGGCTGCCTCTGCTCCAGCCCCAAGCCTGGCGCAGCAGCTTTCCCTACCCACACAACCCTGACACTGCCCGTCCAGTTCCGCAATCTGCAGCGCGTTGGAAGGTGCCGTCCTCCAAGGGACCGCAGGATGGCCTGCGACACAGCCCCTAGTTCCGGGTGGGTGGCCTGCAGCCAAGATCCCACCCCAATCCTGCAGCTCCCGCATGCCGCGCACCTCTCCCTCCCAGCCGGGTCCTACGTGCCTGGTGGCTCCGCTCGCCTCTGCTCGGCCGCTGTAGCCAGACTGCTGGAGCCCGGGAAGCCCCGGAGGCAGCGCGGGCGGGGCGAGCCCGGAGCCCCGCCCCGGCCGGCCCCGACGAGAGCCGCGCGGTGAAGCACCACCAGGAGCCTGCAAGCGAGCAAACCCCGCGCGTCGCGGGCCGCGAGTCCCTGAGGCTACGGAGCTGCAGTCTGCGGTGCAACTCCGCGGGGAGGCGCCCGCTGTGTGCGCGCACCGCTGGCCTGCGCAGCCTGTCCCTGTGCGTGCAGGGCGGGCCGGTAGGCAAGGAGACGCCGCTGGGCGAACGTGCGTGCCACCAACACAGCGTGGGGTCGCCCCGGTGCGTTGGGCCCCGCCCCGCACCCGCAGCCTTGGTCAGCTGCCTGCAGCCGCCCCCGCCCCGAGAACTGTCGACCCGGACCCTGGCCAGGACGAGGCCCCCATGCCCCAAACGAGGTCGGACTCCGAGTTTCCAGGGCTCTTCCGCCCGCGTATGCACAGGTTTTATTCAAAGACAGAACCCGCTCGGGCGAGGTCGGGCCAAGACGGGCGTGCCCAGGCGGCGCACCTTCCCGCTGTGCTCTGCTGACCCCTGCTGGTGGGTCTGGCGCAGAAGGGCGCCGGCCCACGGCTCTGGGTCGGCTTGGCCCCTGTTAGCTAACGTCGAGGGGGCTGTGCAGAACGGGAATTTGAGGATCTGGCGGGCTTCGAGTCAGGTGGCCGGAGAGGGTCCCAAAAGTCCAAGAGGGGTCTGAGGGGAAGCGTGGGGCAGTCGCTTGCAGGTGATGAGGTGGGTGGGCAGCGCCTGGGTGTCGTGGAAAATGACAAAGATGCTGGGCTGGGTGAGGCAGTCCACAGCACTGTCGTAGCGCAGCACGGTGTGGCCATGGCCGGAGGCCCGCAGAGGGGGAGCCCTTAGACCCCGGCAGCCTTGCCCGTAGTCGCCTGTCAGCACCCGTGCCACGAATATCGCCTTGTGGCCATCGTTGCTGGGGGGCGAGTATCGGTCCTGCACCGACAGGGAGGCGCGCTTGGCGAAATACACGCCCCGCCCGTAGAGCGTGCCTGTGGGGTGGGACGGGCCAACAGATATCAGAATGTTGGGAAGGGCTGGGCCCCGCCCCTGCCCGGTCCAGGCCTCACCGTTACGGCCACAAAAGCTTCGGTTGAAGCCGTGCGCACAGATCTCAGGCACTGCAGATGCCGACGTGCCGTGGTACAGGACCTGCTCTGCAGGGTGCTGCGTGCAGCGCTGCATCAGACGATCCCGGTGCAGCTGGTACTGCTGCTCCAACAGTGGGTGAGACACACGCTGCACCTGCAAGGTGAGTGGCAGTCAGGGCCGGTAACTGGAAGTTCCTCCTTACACCTGACCTCAGGACAGAGCTGAGTTCGGCCATCAGGAGCCTTCTGGTGGAGGAATTTAGGATGGAGGAGAGACCTCGTAGCTCCCAGCGTGCCATCTTCATGGGACAAGTGGCATCAAAAGGCTTCCAGGGATGCCTGACCGCTCCGGGGAGGACTGTAGTTGGGTAAACTCCATCTGCTCACCGGAAAGCAGAACCTACAGCTACACCTGTTCAGTTAAAAGCCCAGCAAGGTGCCCAATGCGCCCTCAGGACTTCATTCCAGACACCAAGAGATGCCCACAGACCTCTCAGTGCTGGAAGACCCAGGTGGGAGATAAGGCCTCAAATGGCCAATTCAATAATCAGTCCTAGAGGAACGAACTCGGGAACCCAAACAGATAGAATTTTTTTTTTAAAGAAGTAAAGGTTTATTTAGCTCACAGTTTGCAGAGGTTTAGTCCATAATCGGCTAGCTCTAAGGCAGAGTGGTGTGGCAGAAGGGAAACAGTTCATGGTGGAGGAAGATAGCAAAAGCATCAAGAGCAAAAAAGGGAACTTTTTTTTAGTTTGTTTGTTTTTGTCTTTTAAGACAGGGTCTCACTATGTAGTGCAGGCTGGCCCTGAACTCACTATGTAGCCCAGGCTTGTCTTGAACTCTCCACAATCCTCCTGCCTCAGCCTCCTGAGTGCTGGGATTACAGGCATGCCCCACACACAGCTTACTTTTTTGTTTTGGTTTGGTTTTGGTTTGTTTGGTTGCCAAATAGAATTTTTAAAAAGAAATTCTAATTAGTCTCTTCAGAACAATGCAAAAGGATAACACATCATAAAACAAGACTGACAGTTGTGAAAGAGTCTAAAAATAAGAAAGCATTCTCACATTAAGAATGGGGTTGTAGGGACCAGGGATATAGCTCAGAGGCTCAAGCACCTGCCTGGCAAGTGCAAGGTCCAGAGTTCGATTCCTGGTACACGCCCCCCAAAAAAAGTAGGATTGTTGCTGGGTGTGATGACACGCACTTGTGATCCCAGCACTTGGGAGGCTGAGGCAGGAGGATCACTGAGAGTTGAAGACAAGCCTGGACTGCTTAGTGAAACCCTGTCTCCAAAAAAAAATTAATCCCAAGAATGGGATTTCTGGGCTGGAGAACAGGAGAGTGAGGCAAATGAAGGAAGCAAAGCTGCATCACAGGACCTCCCCCAGAAGACACGAGACAGTGCTGGGACACCTGGCCACGCAGTAGAGGACCATTTCTCTGAGCTGAAGGCAACATCTCCACATGGGGAAGAACCAAAACATGCCCCTGGAGCCTGACAGGAAACTCTCAACCTTTGAAATGAAAAAAAACTTTAGAAGCACATGCCAAGGTCAGTATAAAAGTGTAAAGAAATCTCACGGGTTTCTCACTACCAATAGAAGATGCTAAGAAACTATGGAGAATTTTTTTTAAACTTTTTACATGTTTTCCATATGCCTGGCCTCTTGAGTCTTTCCCTCTCAGCTCAACTTTCTTTTTTGTTTTGTTTTTGTTTTTGTTTTTCTCCGGTACCGGGAACCAAACTCACGACCTTGCGCTTGCCAGGCAGGCGCTTTGCCGCTGAGTTAAATCCCCAGCCCCTCAGCTCAACTTTCTTAACTTGTGTGGTGGACTGGGGCTTCTGGGCTTTACTGGGGCTCCCCACCAATTATTCCTAGCCTTTTTGGGGAAAACATCTATGCTCAAAGTTACCAAATTTAGCAAGTTAGAATACAGGAAGCCAGGCATGATGGCACATGCCTGTAACCCCAGCACTTGGGAGGCTGACGCAGAAATATCGCCACAAGTTCAGGGTCAGCCTGGGCTGCATGGTGAGTTCAAGGCCAGCCTGAACTACAGAGTGAGATCCTGTCTCAAAAAAATAAATAAATAAAGTTAGAATATAGGAAAATATAGAAAGAGGGACTGGGGGTGTAGTCCGCGGTAGAGCATTTTCACAGTGGGTTTGATCTACAGACACACGCACAGCACACACATACACACATGAAGAGGCTGCCACGTGACAGTGAGCCTGGTCCTTTACCTGCCCAAGTGACCTCTATTGGAGGCAGAAGGGCACCCAAAACAGAAAAAGGGAATCATGCTGGACATGGTGGTGTACGCCTGTATCCCAGCACTCGGGAGGCTGAGGCAGGAGGATCATTGTGAGTTCAAGGCCAGCCTGGGCTACAAAGTGAGCTCAAGGCCAGCCTGAACTGCATAGCCAGACCCTGTCTCAAAAAGACAACAACAACAACAAAAAAAAAAAAAAAAAAAAAAAAAAAAAAAAAAAAAAAAAAAAAAAGAAAAAGAAAAAGAAAAAGAAAAAAGAAAAAGGGAATCATTTGTGGGAATAAGTAATTCTCATAATGGCCACAAGATGGCATCACCCCTCCATGATCCAGATAAGGATGTGTCCTTGGAGAAGGCCACATACTGCTCAGGAGGGAGCCTCACTCTGGCCTGTCAGATCCCCAGCCTCCCTAACCTCTCTGTTCTTTGGTCTTCCCTGTCAGACTTTGTGAATGTCCTCGGGGCAAGAACAAGGCTGGAGAGCCCTGGCGCTCTGTCATCACCCGGTCAGCTTCCAGCCGGCCTACACTGAGCACTCCTGGCCAGGTGAACCTGATACAGGGGAATGTAACAGCTCACAGGGAACCATGAGGCCAGTGAGCAGGGTGTGGACTCACCTGGATGATGCAGATTCTGCTATGGGCAGCATCCAGAGTGTTGTAGAAGGCCTGCACCACTTCCTGGAACTCCCTGGTATTGTCTGCCAGGCCCTCCAGTCTTCCCAAGGGCTCCTTCAGCCTCTGCTCTGGCACTAATACATGAGGAGAGAGACAGCAGGGCCATGCCTGGGGCACTAGCCCAATAGCCACTACCTACCCCACACCCCAGCCCAAGGCACAGGCTCACAGGTAGTACCTGACATGCCAAAGGGGAAGGCCACACTCTGATCCCATGGGCCAGCAAGAAGTGCATTTAAGTGGCGGGCTGCACGAGCAGGCTGGGCCCCAAAGCCACGGAGAAGAACACTGTCACCATGCAGGGCAACACTCACACCATGGCACCGCTCCAGGGGCGCACACAGTTCTGCGGGCAGCACACGGCCCTGGAGCCTCACTGTCTCCTGCTGGAGGTGTTCCTCCAAGGCAGCCGCTAGCGCCTGGTCCAACTCCTCCATGTCCTGCTCAAAAGGCACGTGTACCACCAGTCGGGCCCTGTTACCAGAACTGCCAACCAGGGGCTCTTCTGCCTCCAACAGGGGCTGCTCCAAAAGGGAGAGGGCCAGGGCTCGCCTTAGTGTGGCAGCTTCCTTCTGCTCGGCCACCTGGTCCTGAGACTCCAGTGAGCGGTGGAGGGCCAGCTGCAGTGCAGCCTCCTCCTGCAGCTGCTCAAGCTCAAGTGTACCAGTGTTAGGTCCCACAGGCTCCTCCCCAGTTCCAGGTATGGGCGTTCTCTCCTCCTGCCCTGGAATTGCTGCATCCTCTGGTTGCTCCTCAAGGTTCTCCTCCTGCAGCTCCAGGAGCTGCTGGTCCTCTGAATCTAGGCTCTCCAAGGAGGCCAGCATCTCTTGGACTTGCGCTAGGGGTAGAGAAAGGCCATTGGGTCATGAAGCAGGCCCAGCCCGTGTGGCACTGAAGGATGAAATGAGTTTAGAGGTACAGAGTGGGCCTAGAAAGGATCTCTAGACAGGTGGGAGTGCAGAGTAGGGTGGGAGGTGTGATCAAGAAAGGACCACAGAACATTCTGGAGTCTCGAGGGAGCCCTACCCAGGCTCACGTTCTCCTCGTCAGTGCCTGTACTCTCCGGGGACCACAGCAGGTGGCTGTGTGCAGGGTAGACGTGAAGAGCCTCAGTGGGATCCACCTGGGGGAGAGGATGTCAGGGTCATCAGCCTCTGGGTGAGGGTTGAGGAGGCACCTGGGGCTGGGCAGCTGAGGTGTACAAAAGGGGAGGGGTGAGCAAAACTCCACCTCTGCCTCTTCAGGGTTTGTGTCCATGGTGGCACTGGCCAGATGCTCTGTCCCAAAGACACACTGGAACTGAGCCTCTAGGCCCTGAAGAAGGCGCTGTCCCTCTGTCCCCAGCAGGAATCTGGCGCTGCCTGGGTGCCTCAGGCTCAGCATGTGGCAGCTAATGCTGCCCAGCAGACTCTGTAGCAACTCCTGGGCCACTTGGCATGGGGCCTGGGCTCCACAGAGCTGTAAGACCATGACAGGGGGACGGTTCGCAGGTTCACACAGGAAAAGTGTGAGGCCCCTGTGGAAGAAGGGCCCAAAAGGAATTCCCAGTAGTCACTCACCCGGAAGCCTGTCACATCCATTCCTTCAAGTGGGAAGAGGGCAACATCTCCCAGGCTGGCAAGAAGGTCCTCATGATAAAGTTGCAGGAAGCGCATCGCCCCTGGCTCCATTGACAACACCATCTCTACCGAGCCCTCCTGCCCCAGCAGCCCCACACGCCCTGGGCTCCCGAACCCAGCCTTCTCTGGAGAATCCAGGGTGACCTCCACTGGACCCACCAGCCCCTCCTGCCCTGGTGAGCTCATGGCAACTCCCAACAGACCCTCCTGCTCTAGCAGATCCAAGGGTCCTGGGCTGTCCTGCCCGGGCAACCTCAAGATCTCCATTGGGCCCACCAGTCCTGCAGATTCCTTAGGCTCTGGGCTCATGAGCCCAGCCTGCTCTGGAGACCCTGTAGTTCCCAGGCCCATGGCCCCCGCCTGCTCCAGCTGCCCCACAGGCCCTTGGTTTAGTAGCCCCTCTTGCTCCAGAGATCTCACAGTTCCCAAGTCAACTAGCATGACCTGTCCTGAAGATCCCTCCTGACTTTTTCTCAGAGAGACTCCCAATTGCCCTGGTGCCTCCCCAAAGTCCACGGTCATAGTCCCTGCACCCTCTGGGGCCGCTGCCAGCCCTCCAGCCTCCAAGAGAACATGGTCCACAGCTCCAGGACCCATCGTGGATGGGTGGTTCCCTCCAGCAGTGGTGTCAGCAAGCTCCTCAGGCTCCAGGACTTCATAGTGGGGGACCAGGCTCAGCTCTGAGCCTTGCAGCCGGTGGTCCCGCTGCAACACCCGTTCAGCCACTTGGAGGAAGGAAGAGGGCAGAAAGTCCATCAGGTTTCTGTGGGAGAAGGAAGGGCCCACTGGGTCTGTTCAGCTGACTCACCCTGCCACTGCTGGAAGGAGATGACAGTGCCCAGCTGCCCAGGCAGGCTGCGGAGGCCCTCCAGGGCCCCCCCGCCACTGCGGCGCTCATTCTCCAGGTATAGCTCCAGCAGCAGCAAGTCCGCGGGTGAGCTGCCTCCTACCACACGCACCGCTCGAGCCTGGGGCACTCGGGCCAGGGACACAAAGGCCCCATCCAGGCCCAGATTCTGAGCCTGCTCCTCGAGGATCCGGAATTCTGTGGGAAATGGACAGGTAGGCTTTGGGCATCTTCCCTAATCAGCACCTTTGCTCCAGTCTCACCTCTTACCTTCTTCAGGAAGGGGCATGGGCAGCTGGACCAGGGCCCTGTCCAGCCTGGGGCTGTCCAGGGCATGGCAGGGCCACACTGGGTGTCCCATGGCACACAACAGGGCCTGAACATGCTGCTCCAGACGCTGGGGTGTGGTGCCAGCTGGCAATCCTTGGAGGAGCAGGCGTGTAGGGGCACATGGCGGGGCTGGCCTCAGGCTCAGGCAGGCACCTTGCAGTCGATGCTCTGCCTGGGCCAATACCCTCCGAGCATCTGTGAGCAGGGGCAGGGCGTCAGGGCTGTTGTGGCATCAAGGCACCCAGGCTTCCCCCTTCCACCAACCCTCTCACCCTCGGGTTCTTGGAAGGTGAGGATGCCCCCACGGCCAAGTCTCTGCCAGCTCAACACAGGCCCCCCACCAGAGCGTCGGCGGTTCTCAAAGTAAAGGGTGAGCAGCTCGTCTGGCACATCAAGGGGCAGCCCTTGGACTTCCACTGCCACCCCTGGCTCCTCCTCAGCCATCATAACCCTGAAATGGAACATTAGGGTAGGGAAAGGCCTGCTCCACTCCCTCTAGGTCCAATTGGGTCTGTCCAGCTGACTGGAGTACCCTTCCTACTGCCTCCCAGGGCCCCTTGTCTACATCCCCTGGGTGCCACCCCCTGTGGGCACCCCCATATCCCACACTTACACTTCCCCTGCCACCCGGGCCTTCAGCTGGGCTAGGTGCCTGCCTGCATTTCTGTCTGACACCGGACAGGAAAACAAAAGTGAAACTGACTAAAGAAAACAAGGAGGGAGGGGCCAGGCCTGAGGGCAGGCCCTGGTTTCTGCAGCCCAGGTGCTTCCTCTGCTGCTGAAGTCTCAACCTAAGCCCACCAGGAGGTGACAGCCAGGCAGACCCCTCAGAACCCTCCCACCAGCCCAGTCACTGGTTCTCTAGGGCCCATTCCAGCCCCTGCTTTGGGAGGGTAGACAGGCGTGTCCTCTACTTCTGGCCTTTCCTTGTGACCTGAAAACGGCCAGATACCTTCCCCACCAAATGGACCAAGGAGGCTTCAGTAACTGGCCCCCATGTAGGGTCTCCAGGCCTCCGTCAGCATGCGCAGCCCTGGATCTCCAGGCCCGCCCTGGCTGAGGCTGGCCTCAGGCTGCTTTGCAAGATAGATAAGATAGCTTTACTATTAATTTCTTTTAGTTCCTTGAAAAGCTTGTGCTAATATTGTTTGGACAATTAAATGCTTTTTTTTTTTTTTTTTTTTGTCTTTTTGAGACAGGGTCTCACTATGCAGTTCAGGCTAACTTTGAGCTCACTTTGTAGCCCAGGCTGGCCTTGAACTCACAGTGATCCTTCTGCCTCAGCCTCCCGAGTGCTGGGATTACAGGCGCAGGTATGCCACCGCGCTCTGCTTAAATGCCTATATCTTGTACTCTGAGTAACTAAAGACAACAGCCAGGGATTTAGCTCAGCAGCATAAGCATCTGCCTGGCGAGCACAAGGTCCTAAGTTTGATTCCTGGTACCGAAATAAATAAATAAAAATAAAGATAACAATATGCAATGTATTAACCATTGTTACCCTTTTATCTTGTTTTGATTTTTTTTTTTCTCTTTAAAATTAAAAAAAAAAAATCACCAAGGGACCAAGCCTCACACATAAGTGCTGATGCTGGGCAGCTCTGACCCCAAAGATCGCCATCTCAGCAGAGGTCAGGTTTGGGTTAGAGGGTGGCCTCTCATTCTCTCAGCTCTCTCCAGCCCTCACACCCACCTTTTTTTTTTCTTTCTTTCTTTTTTTTTTTTTTTTATTTGAGACAGGGTCTCGCTATGCAGTTCAGGCTGGCCCTGAGCTCACTTTGTAGCCCAGGCTGGTCTCGAACTCACAACGATCCTCCTGCCTCAGCCTCCCAAGTGCTGAGATTACAGGCATGCGCCACCACGCCTGGCCCTCACACCCACCTAACCCCCCTCCACTGTTATCCTTGCCCTCTTCATGACCAATCACAGAAGTTCAGGCATGGTGCCGACAGGCTTACATCCAGTAATCCTCACTACAAAAGGAGAAATGGAGGTATAGTCAGGGCCTGTAGAATCTACATTCGCACACATTCCTGATGCCCCCAGCCTTTGAGCACTTTGCTTCTAGGCTTTCAAAAATTGTGCCCACGGCTGCTCTTCACCCCCACCCCCCAGTCGCCCCAGCCCACCCCTCTTATTCCTACACAAGGCCCAGACCCTTGCCTAGCCCACTCCCTTGGCCCTGCACACCTGGCACCTTCAATGCAGAAGACAAATTCCTGTGCCCTTCACCTGTTACTCCATAAAAGCATGATTCGTGGTTTTTTCTGAGTCAGACTGGCTCAGAAAAGCTGTTTTTGCTAAAAACTGTAACTCTTCACTTGTGCCTATAGATGCCCAATAGGTAACAAAAAGCAGACCAAAGCTTGACTGTCAAAAGTCTGGGTCAGGGGCTGGGGATTTAGCTCAGCAGCAAAGTGCCTGCCTGGCAAGCGCAAGGTCATGAGTTTGATTCCCAGTACCAGAAGAAAAACAAAAACAAAAAAAACCCAAAAATATAATTCTGGGTCAAATCCTTCTCAGCTCCCTGGATGCAGGCATGTTAGTCATTTAGAGAATGTTTCTAAAAGTTGGAAAAACAAGGTGCTTTGTTTTTGTTTTTGCTTGAAGTACTGGGCATTGAACCCAGGACCTTACACTGAGCTATTTTCCCAGCCTTTTTTATTTTTTATCTGTTTGTTTGGTTTCGGTTTTGGTTTTGTGATTTTTGCGGGTTTTTTTGTCTTTTTGAGACAGGGTCTCACTATGCAGTTCAGGCTGGCCTTGGGCTCACTTTGTAGTCCAGGCTAGTCTCGAATTTGCAACAATCCTCCTGCCTCAGCCTCCCAAGTGCTGGGACTACAGGTATGTGCCACCATGCCCGGCTTCTTTTTGTTTTTTGGGACAGGATCTTGCTCTGTAATTCAGGGTAACCTTGAATTCAGTATGTAGGCCCTCACACTTGTGGCAATCCCCCTGAGTGCTGGCATTACAGGTATGCACCACCACACTCAACATTTTTTTGTTGTTTTGAGACAAGATCTCACTAGGTTGCCCAGGCAGGACTCAAACTTGTGACTCTCTTGCCTCACCCTCCCAAAGTGAAAACAAAGCATTTTAGCCTTACATTTACCTAACCTATCTCATCATCCTTCAAGATTTTTTTCTTTTTCTTTTTGAGACACGGTCTCGCTATGCAGTTCAGGCTGGCCTTGAGCTCACTGTGTAGCCCAGGTTGGCCTCGAACTCGCAACGATCCTCCTGCCTCAGCCTCCCAAGGGCTGGGATTACAGGCGTGCGCCACCACGCCTGACTATCCTTCAAGATTAAGAATACCCACACCCAGAGGTCTCTTTTGCCCTGAACTTGTATTCCAGCAAAGCCTCACGCAACTGGGACTGCCCCAAATCATGAGGATTCCTTTCATGGGAACAAAATTGCCCCTCAAGTCCTGATGATTCCTCTGCAGCTACTAAACCAGAACTAAGATAATGATCAATCAGACTTTAGCCGACCACAAGCACCTCATAAAATTGGCACCTTTTTCTTTACCTTTCCTTCACCAGAGTGTACCCCCTCTAGCCAACAGTAAGAGTTCTTGCTGTTAAGAGTATTTTCTCTTACCTTCCAATTAAAGTTTTGCCTGTACATTCAAATCTTGCTATAGTTTTAGCTTTTGTTATCACTAAAGCAAGTATTAATGCTAGCCAGTGCCATCCTCACTGTCACCTGTCCCCACCCCACCCCCATCTGAGCCTCTGGTATTTCTTTTTTCTTTTTTTGTCTTTTGAGACAGGGTCTTGCTATGCAGTTCAGGCTGGGCTTGAGCTCACTTTGTAGCCCAGGCTGGCTTCAAACTTGTGATGATCCTCCTGCCTCTGCCTCCCAAGTGCTGGGATTACAGGTGTGCAACACTACACCCAGCTGGTATTTCTTTCTTCTTTTTTTTTTTTTCTTCCGGCACTAGGAATCGAACTCATGACCTTGCTCTTGCCAGGCAGGCACTTTTGCTGCTGAGCTAAATCCCCAGCCCCCCAGCTGGTATTTCTTGTTTGACAACTACCCTATCTTCCTAACTTCCCCGTGCCATTCCCACGCATCCCCATGGTGGACTCTCCACACAGCAGGGTGAGCCTTTTAAATTGTCACCAGCTGAGCATGGTTGCTCACACCTGTAATCCCAGCACTTGGGAGGCTGAGGCAGGAGGATCGCTGTGAGTTCAAGGCCAGCTTCGGCTACAAAGTGAGTTTAAGGCCAGCCTGAAGTGCATAGCAAAACCCTGTCTCAAAAAGAAAAAGAAAAAAAAACTGCCACCCGTGAGTTGCTACAGCTCTCAGGGGTGATAACAGTAAACACTAATAATGTTCTTTTGGGGCCCACCTGGCGCAACCTGACTGGCCTCAGTCCCCTCTCTGCCCAATGCTCACATCCTGATGCTCAGTAGGCCCAACTCCTCACCCTTCATCCACAACTATAAACTCAGGGAATGCATGACCTGGCCTTCCCCACAGAGCCATTCGGCTCTCCCTTCTCCACTATCCCCGCACCTGGCTCTTAGTGGAAGATAAAACCCTGAAGGGCATCCTACCTGCCCAGCCTCCACACACACACCTTTTATATTTGTTTCATTTTTTTGAAAGAGGGTCTCATTATGCACTTCAGACTGGCTGAACTCCCTGTGTAGCCCAGGCTGGCCTCAAATTCATGGCAATTTTCTGCCTCAGCCTCCCGAGGGCTGGTATTACAGGCATGCACCACCACACCCAGCCTGCCCAGCCCCTTCTGAAATCCTATACTCAACTTTATATTTCTCATTGTCTCTTAAAATCCCTCAAACTGTATGAGCTTCTGGTTCTGCAAAATCTAAGTTTGTCCAGTATGCTCTCCAGCTTCTCTTCTCTAGGACTCTTTGCCTCCTAACAGCTTCTACATTGCTATCCCAATTCCAACTGCACAGCCTCCCACTGTGAACCAGTTGTTAAATTGATCGTAGCTTGAAATCAACCATGGTGAGAATATTTATACCACTGGCATCTGCAAAAGCTACAGGTTAGGGTTTCCCTTCACTAGATCCACTGGTTGAACATTGCACATTGAACTAGCACACGAAGGGCACAGGACAGGGCCTTTCTTTCTTTCTTTCTTTGGTCTTTTTTGTTTTTGTTTTTGTATTTTAAGACAGGGTCTCGCTATGCAGTTCAGGCTCGCCTTGAGCTCACTTTGTTGCCCAGGCTGGTCTCAAATTCACAACGATCCTCCTGCCTCAGCTTCCTGAGTGCTGGGATTACAGGCATGCACCACCACGCCCTGCTCTTGTTTTGGTCTGAGACAGGGTTTCACTATGCAATTTAGGCTGTCCTTGAACTCACAGCGATCCTCCTGCTTCAGCCTCTCCAGTGCTGGGATTATAGGCAAGAAAGAGCCTTTTCCTGACCACTGCCTGGCCTGGAGGAGCCCAGCTGCCTAAGAGCCAGGGAACACTAGAAGTTCCCCCAGCCCGAGCTACTGCAGAGAGCTTGGACTACCCAGGGGACACCCTGCTGGTGGCAGTCAAAATTTCCTCAGGAGAACCTCCAGAGCCAAGGAAGGGAGTTAAGCCATACTCTGCATATGAAGACAGAGTATATGAAGACAAGGGGTGTAGAATGGTGCCTGGCAGTTTGGTCTCTATGACTGGCAGAATGAGCAATTAAATGGGTAGGCAGCTAGGTTTGGGACAGACTTGGATGAAAAAAGAAAGTGAACGCTGTGTTTTAAGACCAGGAAGAGGGCTGGGGATATAGCTCATTGGCACAGCGCCTGCCTGGTAAGCCCGAGGTCAT